AGAACTAGAAAGGCGAGGCTCACCGAGCCATTTATCTCTCCACCCTTCAATTAACCCTGCATGTGTTTATCGGCCAGGTTGGCACAACAAACTTTATATCAATCTGAAAGTATATATTCATAAAGCAGAGAGTTCCTGTTTATACAAATGAAGCTGAAAGCCCTTCTGTAAAGAATCCCTTAAGTGATGGTGTTAAAATGATCTCTAAATATTTTATCTAAATTTACACTTATATTCATTAGTTTCTTAATAAGGGCAAATTTTAAAGTTATTTTTAAAACACACCAAAAAATTACAACAGTTCAAGGACTATTATAATAAAGTTACTTTAATGTCCACGACTCCTCTGTGGTGGCTTATGTGTTGTCACTGGAAACTATACCACCCGTATTTCAAACACTAACAGGTCACTAATGGTGGACAGCTTTCAGTGGAGCTTCCAGGGTAAAACTGACTAGGAAGAAGAATATGGCAAGCTACTTAAAAAAAATTTTTTAAGCCAGTAGAACTTAGGGATAATAATGGATATTGCTCTCTATAATATGAGCCTCTCCCTTTCAAAACACCGCTGAAGAGCTGTCTCCTCAAAGTAAAGTGGACTCGAATAATGTGGATGGAGTAAAAGCTTTCAGGACCCATGCTGATCCCCCAGGGCTCCAAATGATAACAGCTAAAAACATGCATTTGTAATTAGAACGTGGAAAGTACAAGGTCTGAATCAAGTAACCATCAGTTCAGATTATACCTCAACATAAAGAAGAAAAAAAATCCTCCCAACTGGACCAGCCAGTAACATCTGATAAATGGAGAAAACAATAATGACTTCAGTAGGAACCCCCGAGACGATTTCCCTACGAAAACCTTCTAACTTGGAGCTGAAGCCACTCCTGGAGACCACCTTTTAGCCAAATAAGAAAATACTGGCCTTAAAAAATAAATACTGGCCTATAAAACCACCACCCCATTGGGAGAACAACCAACTGTGAGAGATCAACAGGCAACATCTGTCAGAAAGAAAGTTAAGTAAGTGGAGAGGTTGGGGAGCGGGGTGAGGGTCATGGAGGTGGGGATGGAGGGAGGGCAAGGGACCCAGACTAATGGACACAGCAAACCCAGGGTGGAAATGTGGTCAGTGCTGTCACATTTTGGGGATCACAACCAATGTCACATTCATTTATGTTTGAACTTGTAAATGGAAAACTAATTTGCTACACAAGCTTTCACCTAAAACAAAACAAAACCCACTGCTATCAAGTTGTTTCAGACTTATATCAACCCTACAGGACTACTTAGTGAGGTCTGCTGGCCTAGTGAGCTACACACAGAGATGCTAACTGTAAAGGTCAGCAGTTCGAACCCACCAAGTGCCCCACAGAAGCAAGATGAAGCTGTCTATTTCTGTAAAGAGTCATGGCTTCAGAAACCCATAAGACAGCTCTGCCCTGTCCTCCACGGTTGCTATGAGTTCGAACCAACTCGATGACAATGGTGAGTCTGTTTGTTTGGGGGAAAGCAGATAATAAGAGTACTTAGTAGAATCACTCGAGGTTTCTAAAGCTGTAAATATTTTTTTTTTAAGGCTGTAAATCTTCAAAGGAGCAGACAGCATACTCTTTCTCCCTCAGAGGGGCTAATGGGCTCGAACTGCTGAAGTTGCTGTTAACAGCTGAATGCAAAACCCGTTAAAGGCCATTGGGATTCTTAGTTTTTGTTTTTAAAGCCAACTCAAGGGATGTATTGCATTGGGTAAATTTTCCGCAAAAGCCTCTTTAAAGTAGCAAAATGTCACTTTGAGGACTACAGTGTGCCTAATCCAAGCCATGGGTCACACTTCATATGCGTGTTAAATCTGGACAATAAATATGGAAGAGCAAAGAAATGATACACTTTATGGTGCTGGCAAAGAATACCGAAAGCACCGTGGCCTACGAGAAGAACAGAGAACTCTGTCTTGGAAAAAGTACAGCCAGAATATTCCTTAGAAGATGACGAGACTCCTCTCATGTACTTTGGACATGCAATCAAGAGGGACTAAACCCTTAAAGAGTGACGTCACGCTTGATAACGCAGAGAGCTGAAAAAGAGAAAGACTGCAATGAGAGGCCTGGCACTACAGCCTCAACAACAGGTTCAAACAGCAATGATTAAGAAGCTGCGACTGGAGCAGCAGTATTTAGTTCTGCTGTACAAAGGTACTTTCAAAAAGTTGAAAATTTTTCATTCTCTTTTCATTCCAATTTCCCACAACTTCTTTGAAGCCTCCTTGTACATAGGAGTCTGAAATGACTCAATGGCCCTTAACAACAACAGTGCAGGTTTGGGAAAGCTTCCTATAAAGGACTCGATCGTAACATATTTTCATCTTTGCAAGGCCATATAAAGTCTGTCTCATATATATCTCTTCCCCACCCATTTTTCCTCTTTCAAAAATGTACGAACCATTTTCAGCTTGTTGGCCATACAAGCACAGAACCTGTGTCCTATAGATGGACCAGAAAAGGGCAGTTCTGCTGAAGTGGCTACAGTAAACTTCTCCACAGCAGGTAATCCAGAACTCAGAAATGACTGGACCTTGTTCAAATAGGTTATTCTCTGTGAGCTGTCTATAAGGATTCAAGCGCTTAATAGAACTTGCTCCAACATCAAACGACTCCGACCACCAATTCTGAAGGCATAATGTTTAGAAACAGTGATGGTGGCTGAATATGAAAAGCAATACAACTGAATTGTACTGTACCTATGAAGATGGTTGAGATGGAAAAACTTGTTGCATATATGAGGGAGTTTCAAAATGTTCATGGGAGAATTATCCCCACACTTTTTGAAGCCTCTTCATACATTTACCACAAAATACACAGATTACAAAAGGAAATCTCTTTCAATTCCACACAAAGTCATCACAAAAGTGAAGCACGCATGATACTGATTTTTCTCCACACTAGATCTCTAATTCAACAATAGGACGTAATGTCCATAAGCCTTGAAACAATTTCATAGATCAAAACAGCAAGGATTGAGATATGATTTCTAACTGCAACAACGTCACCAAGAGCGGCGTGCATCAGGGCAAGTCCAGTGTTATATTTGCTCTACATCTTCTAAGTTGAGGAGAACAGGACAAAAGGGTTACGGTGATGACCGCTCCTTAGAGGCAAGGATGGTGAGACTTACTCTCACATACTTTGAACATGTGTCAGGAGAGACTAGGCCCTGGAGAAGGACATCATGCTTGGTAGAAGGGCAGAGGAAAAGCAAAAGCCCCTCAACGAGATGGAATGACACAGCAGGTGCAACAATGGGTTCGAACATAGGAACATCGTGAGGAAGGCGCAAGACCCGACAGTGTTTCCCTCTGTTGTACACAGGGTCACTACGGGCCAGAAGTGACTTAATGGGCCCTAATAACAACAGGACTAAATGTCTATGGAGACAGACTTAAAAAGGTCCATGACTCACCCCCTTACGGAAGGGTCTCAGGGAGGAGATGAGCCAGCCAGGGTGCAGTGTAGCAACAATGAAACATAACTTTCCTCTAGTTCTTAAATGCTTCCTCCCCCCCACTATCATAATCCCAATTCTACCTTACAAATCTGGCTAGACCAGAGGATGTACATTGGTACAGACAGCAACTGGAAACACAGGGAATCCAGGACAGATGACCCCTTCAGGACCAGTGCTGAGAGGGGCGATGCCTGGAGGGTGGTGGGAATGTGGAGTAAAAAGGGGGAACCGATTACAAGAATTTACGTATGGCCTCCTCCCTGGGGGATGGACCGCAGAGAAGAGGGTGGGGGGCGAAACTGGACAGTGTAACATATGACAAAATAATAATTTATGAATTATGAAGGGTTCATGAGGGAGGGGGGAAAATGAGCAGCCGATATTAAGGGCTCAAGTAGAAGGCAAATGTTTTGAGAATGATGATGGCAACAAATGTACATATGTGCTTGACACAATGTATGTATGTATGGATTATGATAAGAATTGTATAAGCCCCCAATAAAATTATTTAAAATAAATAAGTAAATAAATAGCAACGGCAATAGAGAAAATTAAGAAGCTAAAAGTACCCTCTGCCCTGTCTTGCTGTGGGAGGCTGAAGCACTGCACTCTTACCGCTTTTCATGTAGCGCTCATTCACCGGTCTACTCCTATGTTGGAAACATGATGGTCTCCTGCATCATGATACGCGGGGCACAGGAAGTCCAGCTTGTCACGTCCTTTCCTCATCCAAACAAGACGTCAACACTGTAATGTTTATGATTTTTATTTTGGCCTCATGTGATATAAACTAAATCATCCTATTTTACTGAAAGGTGGTAACAAAATCCTGATACTTTGAAAAAATATTAGATTACATCCTAAGACATGACATGAGACTTATTTTAAAAACAATTATAGGGGATTCAAAACTTCATGGAAATAATCCATTATCTTTCAATTCTATCTCCCCACCCCTCTACACACAGAAAAAAACTGGAAAATGAACAAGAATTATCTTTAGGTGTTAGATTCATGTGCTACATTTTCTCTTTATGTTTTGGCTCTTGTATTACTTTTATAACTTATTCCAGTTAATTTAATTTTAAGGTAAAAGTGTTTAGACATCATCTTGGTACTTTTAACCCCACAAAGTATGAAATAATCTCCCTGCATGGGTCAGAGGTTACAATTTACCCATCATCCCAGTATCTAAGGGCAAGAAAAGGGCTGACTCGGGGTCTAGGCACTTTTCGGACAAAAGAGGAGGCCTGCTACTCCCATAAAGAGCTACAGTCTCGGAAACTCACCAGGGAGTTTTACCCTGTCCTGTAGGGTGGCTGAGTTGGCAATGACATGATGGCGGTGAGTTTTGGGGTTGGCTTTTAGGTGCTTTACACTGCATTTGAAGTCCTGCTCACTAGGTTTAAGCTCCTGCAACATCTTTCCCCAACCAACACTGTTACTCTAATCACCTGACTTAGCAAAATTCTACTCAGATACCATCTTTTGCACACAATCAGCAATATTAAGATTTTCACTTCTTTGCATCTCTTCTCCACAGGAGTTTAAAGCTCCTGGAGGGCAGAGACCAGGGCTTAGCCCGGTTTCCCCAGATGACGCAGCACAGCATTTTATGCACAGCTTCTAATAAATATTTGATGAACAATGAATAAACATGTAATTTGTGAGGTTTTATAAATAAAAATTTTAAGACCTGTCTTGATTTTATAAATAAAGAAAATATAGACCCCCCAAAAGTTAGCAGTGGCCACTCACTTACTTAGGGACAGAGCCCCATTGAGAACAAACGGTCATCTAATTAAGACCCTTTTCTGTTTTACATTTCTAAGGGCTTTTGATGGCATTCTTTCTCTTGATACCTCACATGGGCTTAATTAACACTCTGCTGGCCTAAGCTATGGTACTTCCAGCTCTGTGTTGTTTCTGACACATTACATCATGGAAAATATTATGAACTACTCTTAAACCCATCAGATTCTCTCTCTACCTGGAACAATTATGACACTTTTATCTACTGAGTGCCTACAATGTGACAAACACCATATTCCTTAAACCAGGTAGGTTCTATAAACTGGTACCTGTGCTTACTGATAAAACTGATGAACAAATAACCTAAAGCAGCAGTCCATAAACTTCATGTATGAGCCAACTCTGGGATGTCACCTGATTTTTGTAAATAAAGTTTTACTGAAACATGACCAAGCTCATTAATATTTTGTGTATGGCTATTTTAGGGCTACAGGTAAGGTTAAGTGTCTGTAACACAAACTGTATAGTTCGCAAAACTGAAATGCCTTACAATTTGTCCCCTTATAGAAAAGTTTGGTGACCCTGGTCATTATAAGATATCAAGATGCCATTTGACTCTCAAACTATCCTGTCAGGCATCTTTTTAGTAGTACTACTTAACAACAACAACAACAAAAAACCAAAGCTACTTGAGTGGATTACAATATGCATGACAGAATAGAACTGCTTCTTCGGGTTTCTGAGACTGTAAATCTTTACAGAAGCAGGCAGCCTCATCTTTCTCCCTGGAGCACCTTGGTGGGCTTGAACAATAATCCTCACAGTTAGCAGCCCAATGTTTAATCCACTGCATGATTGATCAGGGGTCCTTGTAAAACCTACTAGACACACAATATACAATTTTACGTTAACCTTTAAAAATCACTCATTCAATACATAAAGCTAAAACTCAATGTGAGTGCCTTTTTCTCTGGGTCTCACAAGTTTTCTGCCATTGACAGAGGGCAGTCTTACGGCAGTAAGGACTTTTAAAAATCATGTTGTTTGTGCAAAATAGTTTTCCTTCTCTGACAGACTTCTACCTTACGCTGGTCCAAGCTTTCACTATATGTGGTGATATTTGATTCTTTATCTATTCCCACAACCAATCAAGGCAACAAATAGCATTAACTAATAAAATTAATGTTTTCCCCAAGTCATGGAATCTTCAATCACAGCTCATCCCATGATTCATAATTTCAGATGGTACAATCTCATTATCTTTTGGGTTCTTTTTCCATTTTATTGTGGGCTCTTACAACTCTTGTTACACACCATACATCAATTGTATCTGACATATTCATACATATATTCCATCGTTCTTTTCTAGACATTTACTTTCCATTGAGCCCTTGGGACCAGCTCCCCCATCTCAGTATCTTTAAGGCCAGCCCTCACACCAAAAACCACCCACCCTCTTGATAATTACAAGCTACTACTTCTCTGAACAGATCTCTAGTTCCACGGCTATACCGTGAAGTTGCCTATATGCAATATCACAAGTGTAAGAGAGGCAAATCTGGTTCCAAGTAAGAAGGTTGTTTCAAATAGACTTCTTGATACACAGCAGTTTGTGGGGTTTTGCTGGCTGCACATTACCCTACAAAGAGGTACCAAAAAACAAACGGACACCCATTCACCCCAAAGCTATATATTCGAAATTTCTTACAAAACAACCTTACCACCTTCAAAGGACTCTCCAGTACACTTAATACATATGTCTAATCTGCAATTCCATTCTTGGAAACATTTTTCAAACTCATCTGTTTGGATGGCTGACCACCTCCCTCGTTTTTTTCTTCACCTCTTCTGTCATCATCACTGTCCTTTCATGTTCGTCTGCATTCGCAGAAACAAAAAGAAGTCACACAGCGAGTCAGGTGAATCAGGTGCGTGGGGCAAGAGGTATGCTGGGGTTTTTTGGGATTTGTTTGGTTTTTTTTGCCAAAACTGGTGCACTGAGATAGCTGCGTGAGTAGGTGCATTGTCGTGGTGGTAAAACCAGTTCCGTCTGCCACAAATCAGGCCTTTTTTGTCGCACACTGTAACACAATCTTTTCAGAACCTCTAAATAGAAATCTTGATTAACAGTCTGACCTGGTGGAATGAACTCCAAATGCACTATGAGTCAACATTTTTGTCCGTTCGGAAAGTTGACAAAGTCCAGAACAAGTTTTGTCATCAATTGACATTTCACCTTTTTGGAAACGAGAAACCACTTGTACACTTGAGTGTTTCCCATAATGCCATCCTTATAAGCTGGGTTCAACCATCACAACAGTTTCTGTGGCATTTTTCCTGAGCAGCAAACAAAACCTCACAGCTGCACACGCTGTCTTTAATTGGCCATTACAAAAGACGAGGTTCAAGTGAAACTGCTTTTACGAAAAAAAATTCAGTGCCCAGAGAGAACCTTCCCAGGTGATGCCACTGGGTGCATTAACTCAGGGCAAGTTGCTTGATCCTTGCCTAACAAGCGGCCATCTAGCTCAGAAGCAACAAAGCCCACATGGAAGAACACAGCAGCCTGGCGATACTGGGAGGGTGGGTTGGAAACGGGGAACTGATTACAAGGATCTATATGTGACCTCCTCCCTGGGGAACGGTCAATAGAAAAGTGGGTGAAAGGAGACGTCCGACAGTGCCAAGATATGACAAAATAATAATTTATAAATTATCAAGGGTTTATGAGGGAGGGGAGAGCGGGGAGGGAGAGGAAAAATGAGGAGCTGATGCTATAAATTAAAAGTAGAATTTCAGAGGCCACCATAATTCGTAAAATGCATACTATAGCCAAACAAATCTGTCTGATTTGCTTTTTAAATATGGGCTTCTAAACAAATTCCTTCAGCTATAAATTAAAAGTAGAATTTCAGAGACCACCATAATTCATAAATGCCTACTATAGCCAACTATCTCTTTAGCTGACACTCTCAAACTCTGAACAAAGGCAACTATAATATCCATCTGCTCGTCTTCCCTCCACCAGTGCAGACTGAATGCTGCAATAATCAAAACCAAACAAAAAACAGAACCAAGGTGAAGGCAAATGTCTCTAAGAAATCATTAGAGCTATTTTAGGAAAAAAATGTTTTAAGTAATCATTTTATTAGGGAGCTCTTACAGTATTTTAGAAAATTAAGTATTTTTGTAACCAATATTAAACTCAATTCCTGCTTCTTCCCAAGATAAAGGTCTTTCGTGAAAAATTCTAACAGTATCAAAAGAAAAACAATCAATTTCAAGCCACGTTAGATGGAATTTTGTGAATTACTAACCTTGTAAGAAAAGGAGAGAGCTCATCTAAGCATGCGGGTTGGAGGGGTCTCAGTTGTCTAAGAACATTCAGTCTCGACATGAGCCAATGTCAATGGGGGATTTATTTTTTTTTTGTTGAAAGCATGGTGCAACCTCAGGGAAAATTAGGAACAAGAAGAAATGAACAAAACTGCCCTATTGTGAACTTACTGTTGCACTACAAACAGACCAGCTAAGTCTGGGGGTCCTCTCAAACTGCGGCCTGCCAAGGACATTTATCCCGCCCGCTGCGAGTTTTTGCCCGGTTTGTTATTTTACTTCAAAATAAGATATGTGCAGTGTGCATAAGAATTTGTTCACGGTTTTTTTTTAAAACTATAGTCCAGCCCTCCAAAGGGTCTGAGGGACAGTGAACTGGCCCCCTGTTTAAAAAGTTTGAGGACCCCTGAAAGTAGTAGCTAATGCACAGGAATACTTGAAGGGAATCTACAAAATGAAAATAAGGACAGTATTTGAAAGTAAATTGTATTTTGAAATAAAAGCCATTGCAATTCCATCACATTGTCTTAAAATCAGTTCAGTTTAGTGATTAATCTAAATTAGTAAA